AAAAAAAAAAAAAAAAAAAAAAACTGCATAAAAAATACAACGGCCGCCTACATTTACGCATCGAAAACAAAATTCTTTTTTTCAAATTGTTGAATAAAATTAGAGCACTTTCGATTTATAAGCGACTAAATTTATAAAGCAAAATYAGTCGAAGATTAATTTGAACAAAATATGATAGGATAAAAGGCATTTATCATCGAAACAAATATTATAGTGGAAACAGAACAGAATGCCTTTAAAAACCTGTCTGTAATCTCTGAGCTAGCTGCCATGGGTCTTGATTAAAACTAATTACTTCCAAATAGGATTTTTCATTTTCAGTAAATTGGGTACTTGTTCTATTTGACTTTGAGAGATTTTTTCTCTTATTTGAATTTCTTTTGAGTAAAGGATTTCAGTTTAAAAAACCTCAGCCTCGTCAACACTCAGGAGCCTTTTTTTCCTCTTCGTAAACTACAACGCGTATTCAGCGGCTCCTTCAATTGTAAGTTCAGAAATTATTTTGTCTATAGGTAGTCCAAATGATGTATAACCGTACAATTACTTTCTCTGGACCACAAAATAGACAACCAGGTTGCTTCATATTTTCCTCCCTCGTTTATCTGTCATATAATGTCAATACGAACTTTCTTTGCTACGTACCGTTTCCGGCCTTGATTTTTTCAACCAAGCTTGCAAACCTTTTTGAGTCGCTACTATCTGTAGATCATTTTCGCGGAAACATTTGACGAATTTCATCTAAAATTATGCTGTGTGTAAACAAAAAGCGTAACCAAAGCTTGTGGTACGATAAATAATTAATATTCGTATGGTTTTCGGTCCCTAAATTATCACCGAGATTTAAGTCCTGTTGAGAAACGAAACGAAGTAAAATTTCGCCGGGTGATGATCCGAAATGTCGTTGGATTAATCACGTCAAGGTTTCAATACAGTCGTTCAAAATTATAACGATACTTTGTTGTTTTGACTGACAAGTCGGCATTGTTTGACCCTAAAGAAGAATGTTTCCACAAATTCGAGACAATTTTGTATTGTTTTCCGGTTAACCGGGTTAAACCTTGATGGCCATTGGACCAGCTGATTCAGGAAGGCTATGTAGCTAGGGTATGTAAGCTTCATTACTGATCAAACTAACGCATCTAAAATTATGGGTTCTCTCAAAACAGAGATATACCGGTTCAAATATAGCATAAAAATTACAAATTAGGAGTATATTAGTGCTAAAAAGAAAAATTAAGCTCGTTAAATAACTTATACTTTATAATTACGACAATGAAAACATCCAATATTTTTTGGCGCCAAAAACGGTGTACTTCGCAGGCGCGGTCGCGCTAACAATCTTTTGGCGCCAAAAAAGACTGAATATAACTAATTGGACGTTTGAATTAATATTCGATTGATAAACATCTTCGAAGATAGTAATCATTGCTTGATACTGTTTCTAGAGCTGCAAATAACGAGATTCTCTCAGACATAGCTGATTTTACTTCAAGGCCTCTTATCAGAGAAAGATTCAGGGCTATCCCCAAGTGCCTTCTCGTGCTTATTATTGTTTTCTCTGGCCTCTTATGTAAAGCTTAGAGATTGAAGCAAGTTCATCTTGGAAAGCTTTTTTACATATTTAAGGTTAAGCTTGAGGGCATTTAAACATGTTCGCCTGCTCTTTATCAGCTTCAGAGTTAGGAAGTTTACAGTTTACATGTCTATTATTGCCTATGGGCTGTTCACAGTTGTGCAGACAAGAGTACGTCGACTTCAACTTCAACTTCAAACTTCAACTGCATGACAGCTCGAAGAATAATCATAATATTATATAATACTAGCTATGTCTATGTTTCTATGTTTCTCATTTTCAAAAGGGAGAACCAGGATAAACAGAAAGCCAAGGAGGTTCAGTAACCGAAAACGAACAAAAAACAACCGCTGTTTAGAAGTGAGAAAGAAAAAAGGATAAAAATAAGGAAAAACAAAAAAATTACAAACAAACATATAAACAAATAAATAAATAAACAAACATACAAACAAATAAATAACAAACATATATAAACAAACATACGAACAAACAAACAGAAAGATCACAAAGAAAGGGAAAAATAAGAACAAAAACAAAACATAATAACGCTATGTGAAAAAAAAAAAAAAAAAA